AACACAGTGTACCTCGTGCTCGCGCTAGATTCGGTGTTTTAATCAGGAGACTAAGCATTCTCACGGAAGGCAAACACAGAGACTTTCATTGTCGTGTAAAGCGTGAGGTATGGCATATTTACCGAACCATATACAGTACAGCAGTTGAATGGCTAGGATAGTGGGTCTAACATCGCACAAAAACGGATTGAAATTGTGCTCTGCGGTTAACACAGCTGTGAACGCAATGTGTGTTCTCCCGATGGAGCCCACAAATCGATTGCCTCATTCCAGGCCTGAGCACCGGAGCATGACATGCAGATGCAGGCTTAAGCGACGGACAGAACTCTTGCTGGTGTAGGATAACCTGCTGGCAGGGGAGAGGCATCTTGTTAGTAAGCACACCTTGAAGCTGGGAGAGTGGTGTGGTTGTTTGTACACGGGGAGCCGATGCTAACCAGGGCGCCCGGCTAAGCCGGCTCTTACTCTTTAGGGTCGAGTTGGATCGAGTTCGCACCGGGCGAGACAAAACTTGGAGATCTTGTTTCGCACTGATATCATGACCACATATTACCGGCGATCAGCCTGCTGCTGCAGAATGATTTCGATCATCTCGTAGAGTGGTCGGTTAGGTGGGGGCTGATCCTCAATCATGTAAGGTGTAAAACGTTCGCGATGACCCTTAGGCGTGCTCCCGTCCAAGAAAAAAAAACTGAGTTTTAATGTGTTTGTAGAAAAGGGACCTTGGCGTAGTGATTGAACCAAATTAACTTACGCTTTACGTGCCTCTGACACAGTAAGTAGGGACAATCGAGCACTTAGTCTCATTATTCGGCCCTTCCAAGTCGGTGCCAACAGTTCAAAATTCATCCGAAGCGCAGTGATGGCAGCGTATTTTGCAAACGTGCGATCGGTTTTAGAGCATTGTAGCGTGGTCTGGACGGGGGCGGCCAATGCCCACACAGTGCGGGTCGATCGAGTGCAGAATAATGTTTACACATTCTTGGAGGAACAGCTTCCCTTTTTATGACAGCCTACTGCTTCATTTCAAAGCCCTATCTCTAGTAGCACCAAGAGTGCAACACTTTACTCTTCCTGAGAAACATCTGCCAGGGTAAACTAAACTCCCAAATCTTGCTCGGCTGTTTCCCCCTGCTTGTGTCGCCTCGATCGACCCGCACCCGAACTCCGCTCGCTGTGCCTCGCGCCCGTGTGCAGACAGTGCAGAACAGTCTGTTTTGCAGACTTCCAAGCGTTTTGAACACTTTTCAGCTAGCAACACCAGCACCAATGTCATTCATGACTGCTTCGGCATTTTTTAGAGTTTAAGTGGCCAAGTATATTTAAACTATTTGGCATGTTCACTAGTTTAGAGATATGTCATCCTTGTTTATGTTCATACTGCTGTATGCTGTGTATTGATTGCGTTTTATCTAGACGACGTAGCCTCTTAGGGGAGCGCTGCTTTGTTGGCGAAAAATAAAATAAACAAGCAAGAAAATAAACACTGTATGTGCTTTGCCAGCTGCGATGTCCGATTCTCAAGTGTTTTTTTTTACGTGTGAGACTCTTATTGCTAACCTTGATAAAGTTATCATAAACCAACACACCTTTTGGAAATGCAGGTTTTGGCAAGGAGTATTCAGAGGCACAGTAAAAGGAGGCTGAGGGGAGTCCCGTTTTAAGATACGGTCGCCGCGCATCGAGGAAAGCATGGAATGTGAACGTTCGTAGAACACCTTATTTCACACGACCAACTGAGTGACCAAAAAGGAGCGTCTGGAGATACTCCGCAATGGAAACAAGTAAGACGTTGAGTCCGCGACCGCTTTGGGGTGACAAGTAACCCCTGTCGATGAGTTCGGAGAATAACAGCCAAACCATGTTAGCCTCAGGCAGAGGCGCCCATCAGGTAGCCAGTACTACGCAGGTGATCAGTTTGTGAACGGGAAAAGGGAAAAACTGATGAAAAAACGAAGGAATGAAGTGTTAGGTAGAGTCAGCGGCCTTTGATGTCATTAGTGAAGGTTTGCATTGCCTCTAAAGCCAGTATTGCAAAAGGTTTCACTTTTGTCCTGGATTACTTTGGTGGCATTTATTGAGTCGTTAGACGGTCTGTCAGTCAGGGGGAGAGGGGGAGGGTGGTATTAGGGTGTTACGACGTACCAGCTGCTGAGTCTACATAACGTCGCCTGTCTCTCACTCTGGCAGAAACAACGCACACCGTGGAAAGCGCACCCAAACCGCACCTAAGCCGCACCCAAGGTTTAAAGGGATTGCTCCACGTTTGTAGGGGTCTTGAATTCAAATAGCCATTTTGAAGATCATTGGATGTAGTTCACAGCCCTACTCTTCTTAAGACCTAAACCATGCCAGTCTCTGAGCTGCACGCATGCGGAGATGTGCAGACTCTTTCGGGGAGACTTCTTCACGGTCACCCAGGCATCCATGGCGCCATAACTACGTCATTCAAATCCTGTCATTCCATTGGCCATCTGGCGATCAAGGCAAAAAAAGATACGGTTGAGTCGTTCATATCTGGTGTTCGTGATCACAATTTCCAGGCATTGCGGCCGTCCCTTGGCTCTCAATCAATGCTGTGCGGGCCCCGATGACGTGATCAAGCTTTAACGCATTGAGGAGCATATTTACGAAACAGGAAATCGTGCTGTCTAGAGCAGTCTTTTCCACTAGCCAAGTGTGCCAATAGTGTAAGTGGGCTTGAGACTTATTGTCTTGAGTCTTAGGGGGTTCTTATAGGGGTTTATGGAGCTTCTTTAGATCCATCATTTTTTATGTTTGCTTCACTATTTTCAAACGAGGAGCATTCCGTTTGAAGGACGCGCAGTTTAACCACTACGCTGCCAGTAGCCTTGGTCTACTTGTCGGGGTCAGCCACACAATGAGAGGTCGGACAGGGTAGCCATCAGAATACATGTAGGGTGAACATGAAAACATGCTACCAATGCATTATTGCGCTCCCGTGCGACGCGTAGGTCAGTATGACGAGCTTCCAAATCAATGACTTGCATGTGCCGTGTAAACCGAGAGGAAATAAGTGTGCTGCAGTCCCTTGACGTTACGTGCCTCTTGCTCAACTCATCCTGCTTACCTCACATGACCCTGACATGCCCTGACATGCATAGCGTCGCCGACATAGCTCACTCCGTGCGCAGCATCAAGTGTCGATGGCTACCAAAATCCAACACGAGTCTTCGACTCTTCACCCGCTCAAGAGCGGGCGTAACCAGCACTACGCAAACAGAGGAAGGCTGTGGCGTGAGGCTGGTGAACTGCTCCTCCGCTCCGGACATAGCCGCCGTCAACTGAAGCCTGACACCGGCACCGACCACTATACAAAGTATTTATTCACACTCCGGGGTGGGGTAAACGCGGCGACACAGCAAGGAGAAGGAAGAGGCTGGAGCCGACCGGGGTGCCGGAGCCCGCAGTACAGCCGGGCATGTCCGACACCAGTGATTTCCGAAGTACATGCATGATCCGCGCGGTACAACACCCGGGAACATCAACACTGAGGGACACGACTTGCGGTTTCAAGCACGCGAGGACAAAATAAACATGCATATGCCACATATTCAGAGACGGTTAGCGCCAAACTCATTCGCAAATATGGCGAAGCGCTGCACGTTCGCGATGAGACGGTCCTGTAACAATGTTTACATTAGCGCCAGACCCATCCGCAAATATGGCGAAGCACTGCACGTTCGCGATGAGACGGTCTTGTAACAATGTTTACAGCATGATAGGGTCAACGCCTCACATCAAACGCAGCTCGGACGCGGGCAGAGCGCTGCTTCACACACCTGAAGAGGCCACGAGGGCACTCATGCACACTCGTGTCTCCTTCACTCTCTGCTGCAATGGCAATCTACTCACAACCATAATTCTGAAAGAGGAGTAGTGGAAACTCTGAAAACAACGGCGTGGCAAACGCCACTAAAACCGCGACTGTCGGCTTGCAGCCAGCATTTGGCCTCCGGCAGGGGACGACCCCCAGCAGCCGAACGAACTGGCTTGAAGCCCCCTTTCAAGAGGGACCACCGGTGCCAGTCTGCCAGTCTACCTGCGAGGTTCCGGCCCGCCCTCCGCCGCCCCCCAACTGCGCACGCAGAATGCCCTCTCCCCTCCAGCGACCCAAAACGGGCGAACATCGTCACGACCGAAGGCACCTCAAGCCTGACCAACCGCTAGATAAAAGGGCCTCTCTACGCACAGCCTGAATGACCCCGGTCGCTCGCCGCCACATTCGCCTGCAGTCCATCCGCAGACGGGGCACTGGTCTCCGTTAAAAGATCGCATTAGCCCCCGACGAAGCTCGTGAGCCAAGCTCCGCCGAGGGTACCCATGGGTCGACGGGCGTCCCGCCGCGCGCGGACGCAGAACTTGGCACTGAAGCGGAATGGAATGAGATTGGCGCGGACAGAGAAGCGTGGCGCCGTCCGGCTCACCCGCCGCCAGGCAGGCGAGCCTCTGCCGGGCGACGTCAGCCATGTTCACTGCATAGTCGCACAGCAGCACACGGTAGTCAGCACCAGAGGTTAGAACCCGCACTTGGCTCGTGCACCGTCCGCCCACACCACACACAGATCTCGTCAGGACCCCGCGCGCCGCAGTGCACCATGACGATAAATGCATCACTTAAACCGTGCGTGGCATACGTAAGGTATGTACAGCGCGGACCATCAGCCGCACGCACGTGATGTCCGGCGTCACACCTGCCGGCGAGCGGTGGAGGCCGCTGAAACCGACGGAGCGGCGCCGCGACCCGAGCCACTCCACCAGCATCTGACGCCTTCAGCCGCACGCGCAGCGCTGGTGACGCCCCCGCGTCACTCCGCCGCTCCAGCGGGACCAGTGCCGTCCGATGGCGGCTGGGCGGCGTCCGGGCTGGTGGCGCCCCCGCGTCACTCCGCCGCTCCAGCGGGACCGGCGCCGTCCGATGGCGGCTGGACGGCGGTCGAGCTGGTGACGTCGGCCGTCCGTCGGCGCTGCTTGGTCGGCGGCCGTTCGGCACCGAGGCGCCGGCCAGTTCGCCGGCAGCGGCTGCTCAGCTCCGGCCAGCCGCCTGCATGAGTACCGTCGGCGCCTCCCTCCGTCCGCGAAGCAGCCGCCTCCACGTCTGGCCGGCCGCGCGGGGCTCAGGCGAGCGAGCGCACGTCTCCAGCGGCCGCAGTGCGCGCACGGCGACTCACACGAGCGCGTTCACCTCGGCCGGCGACGTGCTGAAGCTCAGCGAGGTCTGGCGTGTCAGGCGCACGTTGCGCAGCTGGCTCACCGCCGCCACCACGTCGGCGCGCGCCTCGAAGAACGCCACCAGCGGCGGCTCGGTCAGCACGGACGCGACGAACTGCTCGAACGAGACGGCCCAGTCGGCATCCGGGAGGCGGCCGGCGGCGGACGGCGCCTCGTCGGCCGCCGGCTCCGGCGTCACCTCGGACAGCGCCTCCGACAGCAGCGACATGTCCGTCAGGCCGTCCACCGGCCGCGCCTGCCGGGGTCAGGGGTACGTGGACATTACTCAGGGGTCAGGACAGAGGTCAGCATAGAGCATTAAGGGACGCAAGGAGGCAGAAGAAGTCAGCAGTGGGCCGACAACAGTCAGCTGGTCAACAGGGGTCAACAACAGGTCAACAGGGTTAACAACAGGTCAACAGGAGTCAGCGGAGTAAACAAGTTTAGAAACAGGAGCCGGTGTTACTAACAGTAACAGCAATCGGTGGCTGACATGGGCATAAATAGGAAAAGCTTCACTAGAACCGCCTTCATCTTTCTTGACATAACATGTCATGTGATGATGGTCAACATACCAATGATTACCGACAGGCCACTAAACCGGGTCACGTTAGGTCCCCTATCACTAAACACAAAAGAAGTGTTATCAAAAGTAGCGGCACGACGATGTGTGACTGTTTCTAAAAACTTTTTTTAAAGAATTCAGAGGAAAAGCAGTCCACAGGGTTAATACACCGGTCGTAAAATGACCCATGTCGGCACACTTCGTCGATAACAATGCACTTTTGTAAAGAAATAATGGTGCATGCCGTCAGCAAGTTACACTGCTCGACTACGTCCTGCTATTTACCACATGCATCATTAATGTACGGTACAAAGATGATGATACTTGTGCACAACAGTTCTGCTCGCGCCGACATTACAACGCAGCGCATATGACACACACATGAGCACACAAAGCGTCGAGCACGTGATCGGAAACGCCCGGGTCCGCAGCATGGGCGAACACATTGTCAGTAAATGCACCAGGGTCAAGCGCTCCTTCCTGAGCGCGACGCGCACAGAAGGAGAAACTTCCGAGCCCGTGCTTCTGTGCGCGTAAGCCGGGTTCTGTATACCACATACAACGCCCTACCTAGCAGAGTCCCTGTTTTCCACAGACCCATCTAGACCAGCTAGACAGGCTCGCCGTCAGGCCACGGACCCCAGACTGCCGCCGGCGGCGTCACTGACCTCCGGGCCCTGCAGCACGGCCGACGCCGAGGCCGTGCGCTCCTTCTGAAACCGTTTGCCCACCTCCCCGATCTGCAGCAGCAGCGTCCCTGTCGACCGGCGGCGCCGCAGCGTCAAACGCCACACAGCGCCAAACGCCACACGGCGTCAAACGCCGCACAGCGTCAAACGCCACACGACACAAACATGTACGACGCCCGGCGACAGAACGCAAACACGCTTACGCTCACGCAGCCAAACACATCCCTGTAACGAAGCTGTCCCGCGGGCGTCACGCGAATAGTTCTGACGCATTAAGACGTCGCGGCATAGTTCGCGAACGGCGCATATCAAATAGAGACGGTGCACACGGCGCCCCACGACACAGGCTTGAAATGGCGCGAAACACCAAGTCAGACATCAAGTCTGACTTGATTTCTGACACGCCAGAAACACCAAGTCACACCGGAATCAGACTGATCACTTCCACCACAGCGCCAGCACATCGCTCGCGCGGACGTGAGCAACACTCGTGCCAACCAAAGCTCGTCAAAAGACTCGGAACACCACGCCACCGTTCGCCACGTGCCACACCCGCCTCTGCGCCCCCTGCCCGCTCCGCCGACCGTCCCCGCCGGAGCCCGCTCTCACCGACGTGCGCGATCGAGTGGAAAATCTCCGGCCGCGTCTGCTCCTCGCTGAACATGTCGTACAGCGCGCGCCACATGTAGATGAACTGCTTCTGGTTCATCATCGGCACCTGCGACGACTCCTCGCCAGTGCCGCTGGCGCCTGGCGGCGGAAAAGGAAACTGTTCGGGCACCGCGGCTGGCGGCTGCCGACTCCACGCGCCGGCCACGCCACAAACCAAGCCACGCGACGGTCCAAGCGTTACGGCTGCCGAACACCACAGGCCTGGCGATAATGCTTAGGTTCGAGCCACGCGGCTGGTGACCGCTCCTTCAGCGAGTAATGACGGAAGTTCTGTTAATGATGACGCCGCTACTGACACCTAGACACACTACAAACGATACCTTCTTGGCGGAAGTCTCAAGCGCGACATCCAGCAGAAGACAGGCATCCACAGCCTGACTGGAGATCGAAATTTTCAGTAGCTTGAATAGTATCAGGTGGTAAGTACCGTTGTCTGACGTGTTCAAAAAGCCTCCGGATGTATTGGTCTCTGGTGCCGTCCCATGACCTTGGACGTCCCATGACTGACCTGAGGCCCTCTGGTGCCGCTGACTGACCTGAGGTGGAGCTAGTGCCGCTGACTGACCTGAAGCGCCCCCGGTGCCGCTGACTGACCTGAAGTGAACTGGTGCCGCAGACTGACCTGAAGCGCCCCTGGTGCCGCTGACTGACCTGAGGTGAAGCTGGTGCCGCTGACTGACCTGAAGCGCCCCTGGTGCCGCTGACTGACCTGAGGTGAAGCTGGTGCCGCTGACTGACCTGAAGCGCCCCTGGTGCCGCTGACTGACCTGAGGTGAAGCTGGTGCCGCTGACTGACCTGAAGCGCCCCTGGTGCCGCTGACTGACCTGAGGTGAAACTGGTGCCGCTGACTGACCTGAAGCGTTCCTGGTGCCGCTGACTGACCTGAGGTGAAACTGGTGCCGCTGACTGCCCTGAGGTGAAACTGGTGCCGCAGACTGACCTGAAGCGCCGCTGGTGCCGCTGACTGACCTGAGGTGAAGCTGGTGCCGCTGACTGACCTGAAGCGCCCCTGGCGCCGCTGACTGACCTGAGGTGAAGCTGGTGCCACTGACTGACCTGAACCGCCCCTGGTGCTGCTGACTGACCTGAGGTGAAGCTGGTGCCGCTGACGGTGCGCGAGCGGTGCCCATCGCCCAGCACCAGCTCGCGCATCTCGGCCAGACTGATGGGCGGCGGCTCGGCGTCAGACAACGCCTCGAAGTACTCGCACGCCTCCGACGCCACCTCGGTGTTGTCTGCCGACCGCCGCAGACGGGAGGCGTCAGTGGCGCTCGCCACAAGCCGGCGCCGGCGCCAGTGCACACTCCCGCACGGCGGTGACGAGTCGGCGGCGCGACACGACTCGTCACATGGCTCGTGTTCGGCTGCGGCGACGCTCGGGGGCTATGTGGCGGCGGGTTGACGCCGCGGCGCCATCAGGGGTCGGCCGGCGCGCCGGTCGAAGGCCGGAGCGCGCGAGGACGGCTGTGCAAGGCGACTAATCGCCGCCAACGACGGCCTTCGGTTTGGTTGGACAGGCTGTAATACTTCGGATAGCTTGGAGCGCAGCAGCAGCGTCCACACAACGAGCTCTGCTTAGTGAGCATCCTGGTCGCAATGCTTCACAGCTACAAGGTTCGAGCGTGCTTGGTTTGCGATGATACAGTTAGAAGGTCAGGGGCCGGGCGAGCGCGCTACAGACCGCACAGCGAGCATGCCGGGCCGGCCCGGGGGAGTCCACCTCGTCGTCGGGCGGGTGTGGCGTCTCACCCGAGATGGGCGAGTCCATCTCGTGCTGGTCGAGTAGCGGCGGCAGGTGGAGGCAGTAGAAGAGCCGGAGGCGCCGCGGCAGGTCACTGCGGGTCATCAGGCCGAGCAGCCAGGCCAGCTGGCGCAGGTCCAACAGACCGTCCCCACTGGTGTCCATCAGCTGCGGCACGGGAACACGGCACAGTCGCAGTACAGTGCAGCGCATAGTCACAATAGCGCCGCGTACAGTCGGAGTACAGTGCAGCGCACAGTCGCAACAGAGCCGCAGTCACAGCACAGTGCCGCGCACAGTCGCAGGAGTGCCGCGCACAGCCACAGTACAGTACCGCGCAGTCGCAGCACAGAGCCGCGCACAGCCGCAGGAGTGTCGCGCACGGTCGCAGCGCAGGACATCTGCAGCACACAGTCCCACCGTACAGGACAGTTGATTCAGTGGCACAGCGCTGAACGGCTGCCTCACACGGTTGAACGGCCAACATGTTCGACATGGCCCAGCTGCGAGGGAGAGTGTTCTGTTTTGGCTGTCGCCCAGCTTCACGAACGCGTCTGAGGACTACTTATGACCGGACGTGCGACAATATCGATAAAAGGTGGGGGCGTCAGGCTGAACTACGTTTACATTTGAAGAGTATCTCCGTGTCTTTGACGAAACATTCACCACGAAGGTGGCTGTTAAAAAAGACGTCAAAAGCTTTTGCTGTATTTAACTGCCGTCGGAAAAGCACAGCCGGCAGCCTCGCGCCGCGGATAGTTCGCTGCCAATGTTCCCGGCTCAAATCTGCATTCATCTGAGGCGTTCACTGACACGGAGCTCCGATGGAAAAGGCCCACCGGGCTAGTGGGTGTGCCGCGTGGTGATCGAACTCAAAGCCGCGTTTGCGCCACAAGGATGGCAGAACGCCAGCTGCATGTCTGTCAGCATGTCATGTCAGCATGTCAGCATGTCATGCCTGAGACACGGCGGGGTCGCGCTGCTTTACAAAAAAAATCTAGAAGCAAAGGTTCTTACCCCTGAATCAAGCGAGGAATACGAGAACATCGCCCCCGCAATAAGAGACGGGCGTGAGATACGTGCTATGCGCGCCATGGACGAGGAACAGAGCGTGTGAGGTCTCACACTGGAGGCCGTGGAGACGTCCGATGGTAATGCTGTCACCTCACCGACCCGGCACCGAGGGCAGCTGCTCAAGTCTCACCTTGAAGGCGCGAGAGGCGATGCTGTCCGCCATGGAGCCGGCGCTCCAGTTACACAACTTGTGGAAGAGGGTGTGGAAGAGGGGGTAGTCCACCTGGCGACGGCATCAATGGTGAGAGGTGGCGCTAGGCGACCCTGTTCCTCTTCCCCCACACCCCCACATACACCAGCCCAATAGACATCATCTACCATGCCATCTATCGTTCAGGGAGGCACACTGTACCTCTGGCACCCCGCCAGTTCCATAACGGGACAACCCCTTATCAGGGTGGGCACGACTCCCCAATATTTGACCGATCAGAGCGCCAGGGAGCTCCACTCGGACGCCGCCAGCGCGAGCCCCGGTACCCGACCCCCCCCTCCCCCCCCCCCCCAGCCCCCGCACGGCCACCAAACATCGCCCGCGTGTCTCGCTCCCCACGTCACCCGCCAGCGGGCCCACGCCGCCGGACGCCGGCGTGCCGGCTCAATCAGCCGAGCAAACAACACACACGCCGGCCGGAGGACGGCCGGTGTCAGATCACAGGCACTGGCATCGACCCGGCCGTGTCACTCCCCTGGCATGACGCGCTGAGGCCGCCTTGCTGGAATCTCGCGACGTCTTCGATTCTAAAGCCATATACCCAATTCGATTCTAAAGCCAAACACCGTACCGACACAAAAACGATCCGAATTATGATGTCAAAGTCCTTGAGCTGACAGCAATCCACCTTCCGCGAGTGCGGAGGCACTCGTTACGCGTTGTTATCAAGCAAACACCGGCAGTACCATACACACACCGGTGTTTTAAGCCGCGCTCATGGCCACGAATGGTCCGACGACAGTCAGCTTACAGTCACACAGTCACAACCCGCGTCACGTCCGATACAACACGCACAATCCCGCCAACACTTCCCCGAGCCCCGGCGCGGTGCCCTCCTCTCTGGAAGCCGCCGGCGGCGCCCCGACGCCTCGGTTCGGCAGGTCAGAGCGCGGCACCCGTCCGTCGGGGCGCACTGACCCCCCCCCCCCCCTCCCCTCCGAGACCGCGCCGGGGAGCCGGCCGAGCCGGGCGCCCACCTTGTACAGCTGGTAGTTGTGCACGGACGGGTCCTGCTTCTCGGCCGGGTCGGGCAGCGCGCCGCGTCCGTACGACTGCAGCGTCAGGTACTCCTCCTTGATGTAGAGGAACAGGTCCTGCCGAGGCGTCACGGCACAGTCACCGGCCGCCGCGCCTGAGTACGACTGTACTTTTGATGTGGCGCCGCCAAAGGCATTGGTTGGATGAATTGACGGGGCTTATGGCTTCAGAGGCACTGCGCAACCTACACACGGCGACAAGCCTGCGAGAGGGTGTGAGCTCTCGTCATGGATTTGCCCATGTATAGTGGGACAATAAATGAAACAAAGGCTGGCGAGGACAGAGGACTAGACAACACATGACTGCGCAGCAGGAGACATGACAGGACAGGACAGGACAGGACAGGACAGGACAGGACAGAACAGAACAGAACAGAACATAGTAGAGCAGAACAGAACATAACATAACAAAGTTTAGTAGAGTAGAGCAGAGCAGGGCAGGGCAGAGCAGAGCACGACAGAACAGGACAGGACAGGACAAAGTTGCACAGCACAGCACAGCACAGCGCAGGGCACGGCACGGCACGGCACGGCAGGGAACGGCAGCACAGGACAGCACAGGACGGGATCTGACCTTCAGCTCTGCCGCCGTGAAGAACTGCTCAGCCTCCACACAGCGGATCATGCTGTTCATCGTCGAGTCCTCGATCGTCTGGATCACCTGGTGACGTGAGAGAACGTGACGTCACCCACACGGCCTGCGTCGAGGTGTTCGGGCGCGGCCATGGCGGTCTGAACACGCAGGGCAACCCTCACGTACACTCAGCGGTCCTGGACCAGCTCATACCAGCCCACCGAACCTCACAGTTATAGGAGCAATCGCAAAATAGCTGAACCATGGTCTCCATTATGACGCCTACTCATATATCTCAATGACGATACCTAAGTGCACACGCCCTGCCGGGGAAGCGTGAAGGCCGAGTGATTAGCTCCTCGGAACCACACGTGGGGGCGCAGGTTCGAATCCTGGGAGCAGCATGGCCTCTGAGCCCTGCTATAGCCAATGCGGTCCCTGGAGGTCGATGAAGCGGGGGCGCAACGACATGCGTCGCGTCCTCTTTTCATAAAAACGCTGCTGCACTCGACGGTGGCGCCACGCGGCGGCGCTCACCTTGAGCCGGTGCTTGAGCCGCAGGCGCTCGATGGCCGAGTTGGTCAGCTTCCCGAAGTTGGTGTACGCCTCGTATATCAGCAGCGAGACGTCGATGCTGGTGTTCTGCAGCAGCCAGAAGCCGGCGGACGATCGGGGGCGTCACACGACGCCAGACAAGCAAAACATATGAATGCAGACCGGCAATGCAGACAGCGGTAGAAAACAGTCAATGAGTCTATGGACAGCTGTGGAAGTGCCGCACTTTCATCTGTGCCTCCGCACGCACGAGAGCAGGATACGCCCGCATGGCCGCAACACGGCCAGATTTTTACAGGCTCGGACACGGTGAAAGAAGCCGTGACGGACAAAGAACACGTTACAGTGAAAACGTAGGCTTCATGTTCAAGAACTAGGGAAAACACGTTTGCGATCAGGGAGCAAACGATGCAGCAGTGTCTTCAGGTGCATGACAGCTTGGCTAGCGGATGTGTTTAGTCGTTAACCTAATGACTAGTCAATGTTGCAATCATATAAGCAGGTTACGGCAGATATTTCACAGCATTTTCCGTCCCGATACTTAAGGCAGTTGTCATGCTAATGACGTCACAGGCAACTGACGTCAACGGCATATCCGCCAGCGCCTCACTGCCTCTAGCATTTTCTCTCTGCTCGGTGCTTCCAGAGTGCTACGTATGCAATCAGTCACAATCTACTTTCGTTGTCACCCACTCTCTTAAGGGCATGTCAGGCACAGAAAGCGCGGATAAAATCGCACAGGGCCGGGACACGGAACTTACTAAAACAAATGCGAAAGGACGCATTTTCCCATTCCAAGCCATCTCCCACACCACGCCGAGCACAGATCCAGACACAGTACAAATATAACAGGGAGCTTCCCGCGTGCTGCGTGCAATGCCAGCCATGTGATAGCCATGCGGTGCCCACCTAAGCCACATCGGGCGAGGTCGGGGCATACCAGGACAGGTCAAAAAGGAAGGCCGTCACGTCACGCGAAACTTGGCGCAGCCCCGTCCGGTCTGGTCTGATCTGGTCTGGTTTAATAGGATCTGGTCTGGTCTAATCTGCTCTGGTCGGGTCGGGTCGGGTCGGGTCGGGTCGGGTTGAATTAATTCGTTCGTCCAAAAAGCAACGGCGTGACGTCACCACTGTCTAAGAGCGCGCCGCCGAAGCGTCGACCGGCCCGGCGGCACCCAGTTCAGCCACGGCACAGGGTCACGACGGGGGTCGCCGGGGCCGCCCGAGGGTACAAGACCAGGGCCACGGCACGCCGCAGGCCCCGGCAGACCACAGACCATCAGCGGGGCGGGGACGGGGGCGGGGGACGCCGTGCACGGCTACACTACAGCCGCGGCCACGGCGCGGCGGCTGACCTGGCCATCAAGCAGCGTTAAACAGTCGGTGCCCAGCTCTGCGTCCTGAAAGAGGGCAGAACGCGGCGCGCTTCATGCTCAAGTCCCGGCTGTGGTAGTGGCCGTACGGCAGCAGCAGGGGAGGGGGGGGGGGGCAGCGGGATCAGTGGGCGGGGCGTAGCTCGGCTGGGAGACCGCGCCTCGGAAGTAGAGCGTTAACCGTGAAAACCGGACGGCAAAAGCGGCGGCGCCAGGGAGGCGAAGAGCGAGGAAAGTGAAGCGAACAGTACCCGCGAGACGCCTGGCGGGATTGCTCCTAGCGCACTCCAACAACGTACGCTTTCAGTATGTGGCGTCGACGCTGACCACAGACGGGTCGGTCGCCAGATTAAGCCAGGGCCGCCAGCCAAACGCTGCACTCCGCAAATCGAGCGATAGCAGATAGCAGCAGAGCCTTAGTGGGTCAAAAGCGCAAAACGAGCTCAGTGAAACTCGACAAATCGCAACGGAGCATCGCCGCCAGTCACGCCGTCTCCAAATGAGCTCAAGTAGCCCACCACGGGCCCGGACCGGTAACCGGAGCGTCGTCGCAAGTCACGCCGCCTCCAAATGAGCTCAAGTAGCCCACCACGGGCTCGGACCAGTAACCGGAACGTCGCCGCGAGTCACGCCGCCTCCAAATGAGCTCAAGTAGCCCACCACGGGCTCGGACCGGTAACGAGCGGCGCGCTCCCAGCACCGAACGGCGCTCTGAATGGCACTCGGAGCAGCGTATTTTCAGCCAGTATTTCCAATGCTGATTATCGCGCTTACCCCGCGCCTGAGACCACGCGGTGGCGGAAGTTGCGGGCTCTCGCTTGACATCAGATTGCGGCCAACGCCCCTTTGCGGCACCAGGATTCGCGGGTGTGGACAGGACGGTATTAGCCCGAAGCGTCGACACTCATCCTCCACTCCTACGTGGCGAAGACGGCGTTGATTTCCTCTCACAATGACGATACAGGTGCATGCCACAACCATGACATGTACCACAATCGTGCAAAAATATTTCGACAGCCAGACGTATCAGGCGTGCGGAGCACAAGGTGAGGCCTTCTGAATGTGATGGCCATCTGACAGGCGCAGCGCCAGCCGCAGCAGGACTTCAAGCAGACCGAGGAAAGATGCCCTCAGCAGTTAGTTATTGGTGATTACAGGCGCAACGACTGCCCAGGCCATTTCGCGACCATGCTTTAGCAAAGCGCCACCGAATCTCCTGTGTATATTACAGTGCTGAGGTTTGAACGACCAAGAACAATATCAGCAGTTATCTTTACATGCAGTGTGGAAGAGACGAGTCCCTGAACAGCGTGCGTAAATGTGGTTTTTAATCCCGCCCTCCACCCGAGCTTGCCATGAGCTCGTGACCGCACGCGGCAGACTCCCCTCCCGTGTATGTGCACGATCCGCCGGGACGTCACCACGCAGGCGCGCGGCGGCGGCGGCGGCCGGCGGCGACTGACCAGGTGTTTGGTGTCGGGCTTGTAGTAGGTGTAGAACACCGACTGGCCGACGCGGACCGGGATGTCCGAGTTGGTGACGGCCTCCAGGTACCGGCACAGGCACGTCATCGCCTCGCCGTCGTCGCGGCAGTCTGCGGCGGCGGCCGGCGTCATCGGGACAGGGGCGACGGGCGACAGGGACCGCCCAACGACGCTGGGAGAACGGCTGTGGCGTTGGCGAACGGTGCGTGAGCAAGTGACGGCGCCGCATCGGCAGATCAGATGACGATGAGATGATGACCATGATGACATGGCGGCAAAATAATAATGACGTGACGGGATGATCAGATAATGATGAGCGTGACTGATGATGTCTGGGCAGACAAGTCAAAATATTATACGGGGGGGGGGGGGGGGAGGGCGATACAGTGCACGAGATCGCACCCTTCGGCGCATACATAGTGCGTACAAGTCACTCAAGTACTTCGATCACTTAGAACGTGCCAGCAATGTACAGGGAACGTCACCGTAAAGTTTGCAAGCATTGAATCAATGCGTACCGAACAAGCCGGGCTTTGTAAAAAAGGAAATGGGACAAATCGACGCAACGACTACTGGGAGGGTAGCGCCATCACGCTCGAAGATGGCTCCCCAATCTTCACGAAACCTCGCGGTCTCCTAGCCCCGGCCGGACCGGCGCTCGACGCTCACCCTCCAGGGCGGCCCGGTTGGCATCCAGCACGGCCAGCGCCACCATGAAGTTGGTGCGAGCACCGTCGAACAGGAAGCAGTCCATCACGTTCACCGCCGACTCAAACGGCATCACGCTGGCGGGGGGGAGAGCGAGGCGAAGTCAGGGAGGGGCCGGGGCGTCAGGGAGTGACTTGGAGCATCAGGGAGGGGCTGGGGGGAGGGGCGGGCGCTAGGGAAGGACAGGGGCTTCAGGGATGGGCTGGGGGCGTCAGAGGGGCTGGAGCGTCAGGGAGGGGCTGGGTGGAACCGGCGACAGCACCAGCCGGTCGGAACGCAAGGACAGGATTTCGGAGCGATCTGAAGGCCGGCGGATGGTTATGACGCACGGACTTTCACCGGGCAAAGTTCAGCGGGTGGTAGCTCGTCCCGACTACTCACCAGTCCGGGAAATTACAATACTGAGGATTAACATCACGTTATCTTTTTTTGGCCCGCAATTCCACAACCAGTCGCAGCGTCACTTTGACCATCGCATCCTCGGTTGGTCTCCACAACGCATCTGAACGCGTCTGTTGCTCAGTGCCCTGCAACGGTTCCTAGCGATACCAAGCCTCGTGAGCAGCGTCCATTACCATGTACACCAAACACCACACGAATCCAGTCCGAAAAGAACTAATCAACGCGAAGGCATTGCTGGAAAATGCGTCACACCGTGGTCTGTTTGCACTCATAAAACGTGATCACGAAAGGCAGCCAGATTCTCTGTGCGGAGGCAGAAGTGAAGGCTACCCGATTGTAAGCGCCACCTGCCACGGCCATCTCCAGCCGTGTCAGCTGACTAATCCACCCCGAGGGCGCAGGGGCGTCAGCGGAGGCGGTTAACCCGCCGGCGTACCTGAGGAAGATGGTGAGGAACCAGGAGAGGGAGATCATGCCCACCACGCCCAGCTGCTCCAGCTTGGTGTAGAGGTCGGGCAACTCCACCGAGATCAGGTCCTCCAACACCCCCTGGTCCACCAGCGCTCCCACCACCTGAGCGACAGATCAACATCAGGTCAGGTCCTCCGGCATCCTCTGGTCCACCAGCGCTCCAACCACCTGAGCAACAGATCAACATCAGAGGCCAGGTCCTCCAGCACCCCTGGTGCACCAGCGCTCTCACAACCTGACCAGCAGTGCGACTCAGACGATCCAGGACTTGCGCTAGGTAGCTCTGGACATGCCAATAACCTTGGCGTACACGGCACACCATTTGCGGTCACAGCCGGTAACTCAAAAAGCCAACAAGCGGACGGCCACCACACCGCACTGGGGCAGCGCAGTTAGATGGCGACGACTCCAGGCGTTTGCGCTCTAGCCGCGCACGCTTCAAACCCGGCCCACAGTCGGTCACACTCGTCCGCTCGGCCGCCGCGGTGCTGGTGTGAGTGGCGGCTGTTCAACAGTGTAATCACCGGGCCGCCCCATGTGGGGCCCGGACGCGCGAACCCCGTGACCGGTTCAAGGAACAGCCTGACCCGGTCAGTAGCTCCAGCATCGCGGTGGCCGCGGTGATGGGGCACCTGACGCCGGACGTCTGCAGTGTCAGATGAGGAGTACTGGAGTAACAGAGTTGCTAGACGCCTCATTCCACGGCCATGTTCCAGGAGGACGTGGCCACGTGCAGACCAGCTCCCTCGCACGTTCAGGCTCTCTCCAAGGTCCCCAGATGGGTAGGAACCCCCCTCCCTACACCCCACTCTGCCTTCCCTGCCACGCCTTGGTACTGCAACACGCCATGGGCAACAGGCTGGGTGTCAACGTGAACACCACAGCTCTCTCCGCGTACCCTTCCCCACCCACCCACTCACTCGTCGCCCTGTGGGCTGCGGGTGGTTCCTGGGCAGAGTCAGCCTTTCTCCAGCCACAACGATGGCGCGTAAGGCCGCGGCTGGCCTGGGGGAGTGACCCGGCCGACTCTCACCCCCTCCCACCTTCGTGTTGTAGTAGTCTGGCAGCAGCCGCTCACAGATGGCCACCATCAGCCAGAAGGCCTGCTCCTCGGAGCAGTACAGCAGCAGCACCGACGCCACGATGTTCATGGCCTGGCAGTAGCCTGCGGCCGCGGGGCAGAGCGCAAGTCAGAGTCGCGATGAGCTCTTGGCAGCGGCCTCAGAGGCGCGCAGGACGGCAAGTGGCGGACTTTCGCCCAGCTGCTGAGATATAGACAGTCGCTGATCAACCGAGCACTCGGTTTCTGTCGAGAAGTAGCATCATCTGCTCATGCAGACCATATATGTGTCTCCTGCGCTAAAGCTTCATCGCAATCGATCCTATCGACAAGATCTATCCGAGCCTCCAACCTCGCACCCCGCTTCAATCCCGGCAGCACTGACCGATGTTAGGGTTCCTCCCTCAGAAGGTCGCCATCACCGACTGGCATTGGCGTTTTGTAGACGGTGCCCCCCACCACTGACCTGATGCTGGAATGTTATCACCAGCCTCTTTCCTCCTTCACCCACACTACTGCTCGACGCTGTAGTTCCCCCGCCCCACCATCACTGCTCGACGCTGGAGTTCCCCCGCGCCGGCCCACTGCCTGACGCTGGAGTTCCCCCCGCCCCGCCACCTCCCAGCTGCTGACCGATGTTGGGGTTGCGCAGAGCGTAGCGGGTGAGCACGCGACGTAGGCGTTGATGCCGGTGGGCGACTGGAAGGCCTGGTGCTCGGGCAGCGGAACGGTGCAGGTACGCGCTCGATCCTCGTCCGCCGCCGGGCACCGCACCGAGCGCGCCCGCTGCGCCAGCTGCACGTAAGTAGCCCGGGTGTGTCGCCATCTCGTGGGCAGGCGCCTGAAGTTCAAGTGTTGATGTTAGACCGCCAGGCGACGGGAAGAGCGGCGCGCGACGGCAGGCGGACGCGGTGGGACTGCCGGCCGATGAACGGGCACGGACTGACCTTTTCTAAGGTAAAATGATCAGTGCAGATATTTAGCCGTTGACCCGTTACATTGGATTTCGTCACAATGTCACGCGGCCACGCGCTAGTCGAAAAGCGCATGCCTCCGCACGTTGCGATAAGGTAATTGAAAAACTAATCAGTACGAGCTGAGCGCCATGTCCCGCACCCAGTGCACCTCAGCTTGACAAGTCTTCACCTCACACCGCGTGCAGAAAGTCGCGGGCTTTGAGCCAGGCCCCCGGCCGCGAGTTCCGCCCCACAGCAATCAACGTAACAGATGGCGACGCTAAATGACCTAACTTAGGTGTTAAATGTCACACCGACCCCGAGCAATGACCTTCCCAGTGGCCGCCGGCCGCTAGGGTCAGCGCCTGGCCACTCACACACGCGAACAGAGCGCCCAAGGCTCTCGGCTGCCCTATCTGAGAAGAGCACCCAGAGCTTCGCTGCCCCCCCCACCTGAGAAGAGCACCCAGAGCTCGGCTGTCCCACCTGAGAAGAGCACACAGAGCTCGGCTGCCCCACCTGAGAAGAGCATCCAGAGCTCGGCCCGCAGCGTCGAGGGGATGCCCTTGAGCACCAGCTGACTGGTGGCCGAGGTGCGGTACATGGTCATGCCGTGGCCGTACTCGTCGAAGAGGTGCTCCCACTGCTCCTGCAGCAGGGAGGGGTAGGGGCGTCACCGCCGGGCCCGAGGCGGCGGGCCCTCTGGCACGGTCATAGCGAGAGCAGGGCCAGACCCGAGCGCTAGAGCCTGTACGCGCACACATGCTTAACAGGGCGAGACAGACGTGGGCTGGCCAACGCATAATGGGGTGAGTGAAAGATGTCAGTACAAACGGCCAGATGAAGACGGTGCGCCGACATTCGACGGCAAGGCTACGGCAACGGGAGCGGAAACCGGGACAAGGATGAGGGCGAGTAGGATGGCGACTGCGACTGCGACGGGCACGGGCACGGGCACGGGCACGGGCACGGGCGCGGGCACGGGCACGGGTACGAGCACGGACACAGGCACAGGCACAGGCACAGGCACGGGCACGGGCACGGACACGGACACGGACACGGACACGGACACGGACACGGACACGGACACGGACACGGACACAGGGAGCGGTAACAGCTCACCTCCTTCTTCAGCTGCCCGGCCGGTGGTCTCCGGCGAGGCGGGGCTGGGGAACTGGTACATCAGCGGCTGGCAGCTCCCACGGCTCCTGGGCGCCCCCTGTCGGCAGCGACGCCTCACGCTCAGCGGCGGACCCCAACGGCAGAGGCGCTCGCATGCGCCGAGCGGCGCACTTCGACGCGCCGCACGCACACCAAGACACGTCGCACAGCCAGCTTAACAGATGTTTCCACCACACCTTTCACGGTCCTACACGTTACATCACGTTTCATTGTGCGACGCCAGGCTTTCGCCATGGTATATTTGGCAAATAATCCTATCGATATATGCACAACACGACGTTTCAGTGTTTTCATGGAAACATGGCCGGCCGCCAAGCCAGCCACCAGCCCGCGACAGGTGTTCCGAAGCGCGTGCGTGACCGTGGCGGGTCGGGTTTTACCTTGTGACTTGCCCTGCTGATCCGAGTCGACAACAATGTAACCCGAACTGTTGGACGACACGCTCTGGATGCTGACTCGATCAGCGCTCGGTCTGTCCACACAGAGCGTTGCCATGGTGACCGCTGGGCGACGCTACACGTCGGAGACTGGACCATGGCATCGGCGCCACAGTCAGTGGACGCTGACAGGAGGCGGCAGCCATGAGCACCAATAAACGACGTCGTGACAGCCGGCGCTCAGCACGCGCAGACGAGCGTGATCATCCGCCGAACACAACCAGGACGCGGGATGGCGCCCGCCCGAGCTGTGTTACAGCCCACAGGACATAGCGCAAAGCCGCCAAAAACCACGTCCCCAATCGTGTGCGCCAGCTCATCGCCGTCGAGCTGGATGCAGCCGCACGCCAACCAAACAACCAGCCGACGCGCACCTACCAGCACGGCCCGCCTCGCCGGCCACCGACGACGACAGCAACGTCGCCAACCACGCCAGCAGCGCGAGCGTTCTCCCCCAACAGGATCGCGGACGGGGCGTGTGGCACGCTCGTGCCGGCCGCCGGCGCGCGTCGGCAGACCTCCCCGCGTGCCCCGCCTCTCGGCCGCCTCTCCCCCCCCCCCCCACACACACTCACGCCGCCGCGCAGGTGGTGAGCCGGGCCAGGAACTCGGCGATCCGCTCGAGCACGAAGTCGCGGTCGGCCACCTGGGCGAACAGGAAGCTCTGGCGGTGCTTCATCGAGACGCAGATGGCCGACGACAGGTCCTGCGTGCAGCCCGGCGAGTCGGCCCGCTCCACCAGCGAGACGTCGCGCAGGGGCACGATCAGCGACACCAGGCCCTTCACCTGGCGACGGGCAGATCGGGGGCCAGTCAGGGGCAGGCGGGGAGGAGGGGCGGGTGGTCAGATGTTAGGGACACCATCAGCGACACCAGGCCCTTCACCTGGCGACGGACAGATCAGGGGCCCGTCAGGGGCGGGCAGGGGAGGGTCGGGGTGGCCAGATGTTAGGGGCGAACGGGGAGGGGGGTAGGGGCGGTCAGATGTCAGGGCCGGTCAGGGGTTCCTCGAGGGTGGGCAGAGGTCGTTCAGGGATTCATCAGGGGCCGGGCCAGGGGCGGTTAGGAGCCGGGCCATGAGAAGATCTGGGGGTCCGTTTAGAGCGAGGGCCTGGTTAGAGGCTTCTCAGGGTCCGGGCGGGGTCGAGAACCATCAGCAGTGCCGGTCCCGTGCTTCCCGGCGACGGCGCGCGCACCGCCACAGAACGACCGGGCCAGAGAGCTGTCCGTGCCAGGAAGCGCATACGACAAGTTTGACGACGGACACCGGACGCTACATCGAAGCCGCGGTTTCTTCCAAACAACAGGTGCGGCATCGGAAAAGTCAGCTTTGTCTCCGCCCCGACGGCACGTGCCGACACCACCAGCATCGTGACCACCTAACGCCACCAACCACCGAGCGTGGGCCCCCACAAACACCCCGTCCATAGCAATCACGCATCCGGCCCCCGCCACTCGAACAGCGCAACAAGCCAACCAGGTGGGCTGTACAACCTTTGGAAACGCATCAACAAGAGCGGGCATCGATGCCCGTTGATTGGTCGGCGCGTGTTTCTTTCCAGGGATGACAACACAATACACACGTGTCTCAAAAACGATGTAACGGACGCCGACGTGTTCACAGTACAATCACACGCACATGCACACACCTACCCAATCACGCCCTCGCACGCAAGAGCGACTGCGCACGTATGTCTGCCACACACACGCATGAGCAGGCACACAGCCCCCAGCCGTACTCCCGTCTACACGATTACGCTACCCGAGCGCACCCATAGCCGCACGCACGCCTGAGTCCGCACGCTGGTGCTCAGAACGCTGGACCCAGGCGGGAACACGGTGCCAGCAGCGCAGTCTGCACGCTGGGGTGTCTGAACCGAGCCCCATTCCGTCAGCAAGAGCGGCGAGCAAGTCGTCCGTGCTGCCGTGTGAGCCCTGAGCCAGCGGCGCTGGTCAGCAGCGGCGTCACCCTCCGAGCAGCAGCTCCCGTCAGTCAGCGCCAGCGCCGGAAGCCCTGAGCCAGCGACGCTGGTCAGCAGCGGCGTTACCCTCCGAGCAGCAGCTCCCGCCAGTCAGCGCCAGCGCCGGAAGCCCTGAGCCAGCGACGCTGGTCAGCAGCGGCGTTACCCTCCAGCAGCAGCTCCCGCCAGTCAGCGCCAGCGCCGGAAGCCCCGAGCCAGCGACGCTGGTCAGCAGCGGCGTTACCCTCCGAGCAGCAGCTCCCGCCAGTCAGCGCCAGCGCCGGAAGCCCTGAGCCAGCGACGCTGGTCAGCAGCGGCGTTACCCTCCGAGCAGCAGCTCCCGCCAGTCAGCGCCAGCGCCGGAAGCCCTGAGCCAGCGACGCTGGTCAGCAGCGGCGTTACCCTCCGAGCAGCAGCTCCCGCCAGTCAGCGCCAGCGCCGGAAGCCCTGAGCCAGCGACGCTGGTCAGCAGCGGCGTTACCCTCCGAGCAGCAGCTCCCGCCAGTCAGCGCCAGCGCCGGAAGCCCTGAGCCAGCGACGCTGGTCATCAGCGGCGTTACCCTCCGAGCAGCAGCTCCCGCAGTCAGCGCCAGCGCCGGAAGCCCTGAGCGCGACGCTGGTCAGCAGCGGCGTAACCCTCCGAGCAGCAGCTCCCGCCAGTCAGCGCCAGCGCCGGGCCAGCGGCGCGGGCGGAAGGGGGCAAAGGACTCTGAGCAGCGGCCGGTTCCGCTCTCTGTCACGCTCACGCGTGTGCCCGTCCGGGGAACAGGCCGGAGGCAGGGTACAGACGCACGCTGGTTTGAGTGACGAGCAGTTCGCCATGCGGTGAACTGCGGGGCTTACGACTCCGGCGCGGGGGGGCCACTCGGCAGATGGCTGACAGGACCCCTGCGGCGAACTGCGGGGTGTCACGACTCCGGCGCGGGCGGGCCACTCGACAGACGGCTGACAGGACCCCTGCGGCGAACTGTGGGGTGTCACGACTCCGGCGCGGGCGGGGCCACTCGACAGACGGCTGACAGGACCCCCCGGTGAACTGCGGGGCGTTACGACTCCGGCGCGGGCGGGGCCACTCGGCAGACGCTGACAGGGCCCCTGCGGCGAACTGCGGGGGTGTCACGACTCCGGCGCGGGCGGGGCCACTCGACAGACGGCTGACAGGACCCCTGCGGCGAACTGCGGGGTTCCCGACTCATGCGCGGGCGGGGCCACTCAAAAGACGGCTGACCAGACCCCTGCGGCGAACTGCGGGGTGTCACGACTCCGGCGCGGGCGGGGCCACTCGGCAGACGGCTGACGGGGTGCTGGCAAAGCCGGCGTTACAACCCTCTCCTGCCAGTGTCAGCTGAGCGCGGCGCGCTTATCCGACGCCAATGCGGAGTCGAGAATCGAGAATGCGGCAACGACGTTAGACGTTCTCCCTTCCACTTCGCGAAGCAATAT